TTTGAGAGATCATTATATTTTAAAAGCTAAAAAATATTAAATTTTTAATCTTGAATTTATCTTAAACTAAATTTTTTTAGAATTAACTTTTTTCTATAAACAAGCAATCTAAAATATATAATAATAAAATGCTTATTCTTTATCATTTTTTTGATAATAAAATACTATAGTATAATATTTTCCTGTATATAAATTGTATAACTTATAAGATAAAGCTATTATTTTTTAAATATACTAATATAGAGCACATATTCTTTTTGATAATAACAAAACTAATTATAAAATTTCTTTTTTATTAGAAAAATATTAATAAAAATGAGTTTTTATTATTGATAATTTTATTAAATTTATATAATAATATTTACTTAAATAATAATTTTTAATAATTATTTTTATTAGAATAATATATTATAAAAATAATTTGATTATATCTATAATAATCACTTCAAAAATTAAGAAAATAATAATATTAACAAAAATATAATTACTTTAATCATAAAATTTACCAATCTCTAAAAATTTTAATTCTGAGTTTCACAATAATAATATTTTCTATTATTAAAAAACTAAAGCTTTTTCTTAATTACAAATTTTAAAATATGAAATTATTATAATATTCAAGTAAAAACTATTATTATAATAGCAATATAAAATTACAAATTCCAAAAATAATTAAATAACATAAATATTCTAAAAATATTTATATAATAATAAAGTTTTCTCTAATATTATTTCACTTTTTTATTATTTTATTTTTTTATTTTTCACTTTTATATATATAATTTTACTTATTCATTTTTTTACTTTTATATATATTATTTTACTTTTTTATTTTTTTACTTTATCTTAATTTCTATATTTATATTTCTAATATTTTTATTAGTGTTAAATATAATAAATCTTACATATTAAATTTTCTTTGTATTTAACTTGAAATTTTTAGAAATTTAAATTAAATTCACCAGTGCTATTACAGAAATATCAAGTGAATTACTATCAATTCATAATTTGCTTTTGTATTTGTTCTGTATAATTCACTTGATCAATAATTAAATATTCATATAATAGTAATAATAACCTAAAGTTAAAAACTTTAATTAGGTTTTATATAAAAATGATCAAATATCACAAAAAAGAAATTCATATATTTTATCTAATGTTTTTTTTTATTCAAGAATTATGAATTAACAAAGTAAAAAAAGAACAAAGAATGAATAATAATGTTCACTAAATATTTTAAGATCTCCTGTGGTAGCTTGTATACAAGCTAATTTATTATCAAAAATAAAAGAAGAGTAAAGAGAAATTAAATAAAAGAATAAGATAAATTGAAATAAAAATATAATAACTATTAAAGAAATAACATAACTTATTGAGACTATCTAATGAAATAAAATAATAGTTGAACTTATTAAAACTGCTAATAAAGAAAATAACCAGGACTTACTAACATAATCTAAAAATTATAAAACTAAATAAATGAAAATACTTAAGTCAATGACTTATTTAAAATAGAGGAACATCCACTACTTGTAATCAAGATTTGAAGATAATTACAAAAATAACAGTGTATTCACAAGTATAATATTACAAGTAAAAACTTTGTTATTTTTATTAGATTAGAGCATAAGAGTTTCTAGCAATGAGAGACTTTTCTTTACACATTTTTAACAGTTTTTGCAGTTTACATGATTAATAATCATACCACTATTTACAATAATACTAAACAATACTAAAGGAGAATAAAAATATAGGAGAAAATTAATATGAATATTAGTGGTTAAAGATAAGAAAAATCATAAGATTGCAGTAAAAAGAAAGATTCTAAAGAAAATTTGAATAACATGAGATAAATCATAAGGAAAGACAATATTAAAAATAAAAATGAAAATGAAAAATAATGTAAAGATAATGAAATTTGAATTAAAATGTTCTTGTTGGGATAAAATATAAGATGTACCAATAGCAAAAAGATTAATTTGAGAGTGAAAAAATACAAAAGAAAAATAAAGGGTGGGAAGAAAAGTGAAAATAAAAGTTAAAGTATGTAAGAATATAATTTGATTATTTTAAAAAAGAACTAAATTTGGGAAAATAAAAGATCAAATTAATATCGTTGGATGAAATTATGATACACCATAATTTGTAACATCATAAAAAATTATGAAATTACGAAATTTTGTTGAGAATGGTCACTATGTCCATCAGGAATTTTTTAATGTAACGCGGCGAAATTCAATATCATTTTACGTAGTTGTTTCCATTTTTTTAAACGATAGATACATTACGATTAAATAATATATAATTTAGATTTCTCATTTTTTTCATTATAATAGATGTAATTATTGTAGCATATGATTGCTTCGCTTTGTCTTATTTTCGTGTGAGGAAGGTTGACTCCAAACGACGTTTTCGGGTTAGGAAGGACGAAGATATTTGTTTATCATTGTTCTAACGCTAATGTTTTTGATTGATGCTAAAATTATATTTTTTTATCCCTTTAATGTGATTCTATAACGATAACGCCTATATTTGTATAATAATTTTAACGCAACTTTGTATTTCTCCAGATCTCACCTTTTGTCATGGATGTAATGCTTTATAATTGTCCCAAAACCTCGCATTCTTTAATATTATTATTTTCTCTTAATTCAATAAAAATGAAACCTTTCCCCTTTTATTTGATTCTTCCGACACGTATTCAATAGGACGGTTCGTTTTATCCTCTTTGAAATCTAGTGTTTGTTAAAAAAAATAGTATACATTATTTTAAAACATTGAGACTCCGTCGTCGTTGTTAACGAAAACACCTACGTTGTGTTAGGAGCATCTTTTCCATCATTCTCAACATCAATATCAAATTCTTGCAAGACGTATGCTAAATATAAATAAATAAAATACACAGGTATATACAATCAAAGTAGCGGTATAACTCAAAATTTTACCTTCATTTGCTTCATTTTGAATATCTATAATATCTATATCATATTCAGTAGTCACATATTCTAGAGTTATATTCAAACAATATATTTTAATAAATAATATAATAAGTAAGTTTACCTTCGTTTGGAACAAACAACCTGACACTTGACATTCCTAGACATTTTGATATGAATTTTAATTACTGTGAATGTATATATTTTAAAATAAAAGTACCTGTCTCAGTTGATATCGAAATTAATTTTGTGGTAAAGACTCGACTGGTGTAAACTGCATTGGAGTGCATTTGTTGGTTTTATTCGTATTTGTAGGAACACTTTTCACCTTCTCGTCAAGTTCATCTTTTCCAGTTTGAGACACATAACAATTTCTTCATTTTTCTTAGAGCTATAGTACTGAAAATGCAAAGTATTCAGTTTCATCCCGATAACCTGAAAGAACTCATCAGTTTGTTGATAAAGTAGAGAAAGTCCTCAAGTTCCTCAACAGTTGGTCTATTTTCTGGAACAGGATCCCAACATTTTTCAATAATAAATTTGCATCATCCGGGAACATTATCTGGTATCGTCGGTCGTACTCCATTATAGATGTTGTATACGAGGTGTATATTATGACTTCGTTCACCAATGGTCGTTCACCTGTGGCAACCTCGTACGTAATCATTCAAAAACTATAAATATCTGCACCTTTGGTGTATATCTTTCCGTTTAATACCTCCGAACTCATATAAGGAAGTACTCCGCAAATTTTTCGATCAGTTTTTTCTATATCTACTGGTTTGGTTTGGTAAGCCCAAAATCAGCAATTTGAGGAAAATTGTATAATAATATATTTCTAGGGTGAAAGTCACGATGCACAAATTACTGATAGTGAATTATATGCAAACCTTGAGTAATACATGTATTAATTAAATGTTTTAATTTTTGTTCCCAATTCGATGCTCCGTGGTTGGAATTCATATATTTGCGTAAATCGCCATCTTCTGCATAATTCATCACTATCAAGTATTCATTTGGATCTGGGTTTTTAGTTATTCCATAATAACTAATACTACCAATGTAGATGCACTTTAGAGCAGTTTTAATCTAAATTTGAAAAAGTTAATTATATTGAAAAATAAAAAAGCAATATGTTTACACTAAGGGTGTTCATTTACCTCATTTGTAAACTCGGACGTAATTTGCTTTGAATTGTGTAATGATTTCAACACAACTTGATATTCTCGTTTAAATCTATTTTCTTCATGATCCCAATATCCGTCCAACCAGGTTGCTTTATAAATTGATCCAAAACCTCCTTTTGCAAGATATTCAACATTTGCAAATTTTTCAAAGGGATCCATTCGAAATGTCTTATTCACCAGCAATTCTGTCGCATTCATTTATTAGACTGTCGACATCTTTGTTTCCACTAGACAATTCAACATAAATTCGTTTGTGATATTTATTACATTCTCTCCAATACATATTTACTACAATCATGAGTATTGTGAACTGAACACTCATCGCAGTAACCCAATCGTTGACAATCCCAACAGTTATTACTACAATCATGAATATTTTGAACTGAACACACTTTGCCGTAGTAATTGTCTCGACACCTCCAGCATTTATGCCATTTTTGAGTTCATTAGTGATTAGTCGTTCATTTCGGTTTATACGTACATCACGTACTCCCAACATGCTTTTTTTTATTTGCCGTTAATTCTTTTCCACGAACTTAATGCTTTGGTAGAACATTAAAATAAGCTTATAAAACTCGCAAATTTATTAAAGTTGATTACTATCTTTAATAGGTTAAGATGCAATTTGCGACATATTAAATTGATATCGATATTATTTTACACATCAGTTGCATTTTGCAATTAAATGTAATAAGGAATTGTAAGCGGCAGCTTGCTGAGTCAGAGGTTTATTTTAAATTTCGTGCAAAGTGTAATTCATTTACCGACTCGCTTTAGTATAAAAAAGAATCAACTTATAGCACATGTAATTATAGCAAACTTTGTTTAAAACAAGCGACATAAATATCAATATAAATAAAATAACTATTGAGCCTTTTCATTTACTTGCAACCCATTTTTGCACCCATTCATGAGCTTCCGCCAAAATATTCTCAACTTTCTTACTTTCATCATTTTTACCAATTAAATCCGTTAATGCGCGTTCCGCCTTTTCAAAACACAATTCCCATTCCTCTTTAAACTCCTTCATCACAATTTCCAAATAAGCCATTGCCACAGCTGTCGTCCACACCGAATCTTCATCTTTCATTGAATCGTGACCGGAAAATAAGCTCGAGAAATTCGAATTTTTCGCAACGAACTTTCCATCGAATGATTGGAATTTTAAAAATTCGTATAATGTTTCAATATTTGGTGACTTTATGTCAAATGGTGGTGATAGTTCTTGCTTTTGAGCTTGTAAACTTGGTACTGATACAGGAAGAATTGGTGAAGTGAGCTCGTCTTCGTCTGACATTGACATAATGCTTACGTCTTCGTTTGACATTGGCCTTGACACTGACGCTGACCCTGACCTTGGTATTGACATTGAAAGTGACATAAATTTGGATTTGGATTTGTTTAGTGCTCGTCCGTATGATTTTTTACTATTATTATCAAGTTTTTCCATTCTCCCAGATGTCGCCGAAAAGTTTAAACTACGAGGAATAATTGCCGATTTTCTAGCAAAAGTTCGTACATGTCCCGGAACTTCTCTTTTTTGCTTGAGAGTCTCACTCCTAGCGATTTCCGAATTAGTTTTCTCGTTAATTGCTAGAAAACTAAATGTTATAAAAAACAAATAGTTTAGTTACGTGCTTACTTTAACATAATAAAAAATTTCAAAAAAAATTACCTGGTATGTCTTGACGCAAGGCTGAAAGTAATACCTAAAATTATACATGTATTAATAACGATAAACATGATTTTATATAGAATAAAAATATTTAATTATTTTTACCTAAATTAATAATTTGTTTTTTGACAAGGTTATTGAAAACTTTCTCTTTTCCTGTGGAATCCGCGTGCAGATAGGAGGCTCCTTCTTCCAAATCCTGAATTAGTTTCCGAGCAGCTAAAGTATGTATTTTCGATCCTTGAAGAGTTACCGGATCTACTTTAACATCAAGTTTAATCGGGCTATCCGGAGATTGTGCCGAAAGATTTATAATTTTTTTAGGTTCGATGCCTTTCGCCAGAATCGCATAAACTACTACACGCACACCCGAATATATCGCGGGAATAGAATTAGGAGCTTGACGAACTTTGCTTTCATTTTTTTGCGACGAATTCCAAGAGAATGAAATAATCGACGATCTTTTCTTGCT